GGAGGCTGAACTTCAGAGAAAAGCCAGAAACGACAATCCTTAACACTCCAGAATTAATCCCTTCTCCGCCCGAAGGGAATCAGCTCTTGGGACTTGCAGGGCCGGAGAGAAAGAGGAGGAGCAGAATGAAGCGTTTGGAACGGTGCCCCGCGGGCAACCTCTGCCCGGGCACCCAGCCTCACTCACGTTCCCCAGCTTTTCCTTTCTCGCCAGCCTTCCCAGTTTGTCTAGGCTGGCTGCCCTAGAGGGATGTGTCATCTGGCGAGCTCCAAGGTCTTCCCTAACTCCGAAGTTTTTTCCCTCTGCGTCTGTGGCATTCTCCCCCGTGGACGCACCCTGAGCCTGCTGTGCCTTGCAAACAAATGAATCATCCTTCCTTGAAAGGGGAGGGGGGGAAAAAAAAAGAGATTGGGTCCTCCCCCTTCTTCTCAGGGAGCTTGGACAGGGGGATCTCCCTGTCTAGGAGAAAGAAAAGAGCTGAGCCTTCTAAAGAAGGCAGCCCACGGATTGTGGAGGAGGGGGAAGATCTTACTCGGGGTGTTTCTCCCATGTGTCAGGCAGTCTGGGTTGCCTCTTCCCACCTCCCCCAATCTCTCTCTTCCAGGAGCAGAATATCTGTTTACACTGGGCTGCTTTCTCCGGCTGCGTCGACATCGCTGAGATCCTCCTGGCTGCGAAATGCGACTTACACGCGGTCAACATTCACGGGGATTCCCCCTTGCACATCGCAGCCCGGGAGAACCGCTACGAGTGTGTAGTGTAAGTACAAAACTGGGGGAGCAGGTTGTTCCCCCTCCCCTCCTCGTTTGTTTCTTTGCTTCTGTATTAAATTAAAACCATCCATCTCACTTCTGGGGCGGTTTACAACAGCTTAGTAATCAATCCCCCCCTCCCGTAGAAACGCACAGATAGCTTAGAAAGTCGAGTTCACACATTACAAGTAAAGATATTAAAAAAAAAAAATTCAAAGGCCAGGAGGTTAACAAGGCAGGCGCAGGAAACCAGGAGCCCAAGGCCGTTCAAATCAATACAGGTTTATTGCATGCTGACCCTGTCTAGAAGAATCTGAACGACTAACCATCCAAAACAAATTGGCGGTAGGTAAGAATCAATGGAATTCAAGGTGGGCTGGACTTGTGGGCGCTGAGAGATTTGAGACTGACGATGGCCATTCATCGCTCAGATTCTTGTAGAGAGCGTTAGAATAAAGGCTTCCCTGTCCAATCGTGCCCAACTTTAGGCCATGGTGCTCATGTCTGCTTCTTGGCCGAGGGAGCCAGCATTGTCCGAAGACATTTTCCGGGGTCATGTGGCCACGTTGGCTATATGCCAAAGCCGCATGAAACGCTGTTACCTTCCCACCGAAGTGGTACCTATTAATCTACTCGCATTTTCACGCTTTTGAAAGCTCGGTCGGTAGGAGCTGGAGCAAGGAACGGGAGCTCACCCGTTGCACAGTGCTCGGGTCTCAAACCTTTTCCCAGCTGACAGGTTCAGTGTCTTGCACACGCTGTTAGCGTACAGTAAACCTAGCTATTCATTGGAGCCGCGTTGGACACCTGATTTCCTGCGGTTGACCCCGGCTGGATGCCGCCGGGCCCCGCCCCTTCCTTCTCGGTGACCTTGCCCTTTCCTTGCAGCCTGTTCCTCTCCCGCGGCTCCGACGTGGCCCTGAAAAACAAGGAGGGCGAGACTCCGCTGCAGTGCTCCAGCCTCAACTCTCAAGTCTGGGTTACTTTGCAGATGAACAAGACCCTGAAAGAATCGGCTCCAGAGAAACCCGCCCAGGTGGAGAAGATACTAAGCAGGTGTGACAACCTGCCTTAAGTTCCAGGCCAACAAAAGTTAACGCTGCCTGCCTTTCTCCCATTTCCCCCCCTCCCTCTGCCAAATTTGGAGAGAAGCCCA